GAAGAGTAGTTAGTTTAGGTCGAGTTAGGTTTAGTTTCAGATCGAATTTCCTTGTCGTCATGGTTCACCCTTCATGATGGTGAGTATGGCGGTGGTATTGTGTGTGACTAATGGGGGACATTTCCTCTTTTATAGTGGGTGTTCGGGCTCTATACAAGTGGGGTGGGCACGCCCAGCTTTTCACGCATGTCAAGTGACTGCCCTCACCCCCACCCCCTAGATTGGCTACACTCCCCCTGGCTCACGAATTCCCCGATTCTCGTGACAGTATAGTAGCGGGCAGCAGTCCCACTTACATACATTTTCTTAATAAAAATGCGGCGTGCCCACCCTACTTGTATAGCACCGGTCTTTGTAGCCGTGGCAATGTTGACTTCAAGCGCTAGCGCTGTCCAGCCCTAATCTGTGATCCAGGGTCAGTTTGATGGAAACCACGGCACCATGCGACGTCACTTTAATTAGCAAAAAACGGAACTGTCATCTTGCAGTGCGCAGCTGATAAGAACGCTTATAGGAAGAAGTTGCTAAAAACGCTCTTAACTTTGGTCTCTTATCATTTGACTTCACATGCTTCTTTTTATTTCTGCAATTTTTTAGAGAAGAAGGAGCACGTGTGGGACTTGTGGCATGTTCCAGTGTTCGCTAAGGGACTTGCCGTAATCTGAGCGACTCATAGCCTTATCAAATAATATCGCGATCGCATGACGGGCAAGTATCCCTCATGCCTGAAGTGAATGAAAGCCCGCTTCGTCATTTTTGCTGCATGCTCGCAATATAAAGGCATACTACATCACTGCTATACGAAGTTATTACGCTGCTATTCGGAATCGTAGAGGTGTTTGAACGTGATAAGCATTGCTAACATTCCTAAAATTATGGGAATAAATTAGTAGAGAACGAAAGGTTCAGAATATTTGCACTCGACGAAAATTCAGTCCGCAGCTCTGGCTTTCGGCTCTTTATCACGGGGATTGTCACCGGGTTTGCACAATGCGGACCAGACAGCAACAAAGGTTGTAATTTGAAGTTGAGTACTGTGCACAATGTCAGCCGGGAGTTTTGTTTGATTACTTTGATGCTTTCTCCATATGGAACGCCACTTGTTCGCATGCTTATGGCTATCTTAATTTATATTTTTAAAAGAGTTTTCAGGTTTAATAATATGTCTCCCCTTCGCGTGCTCGTCACTGGTGCTGCCGGCCAGATTGGCTATTCTCTTGTTCTTCAGATCGCCAAAGGAGATGTCTTTGGAAAGGTACACGATTTGCAAATCTTATACAAGGATTTCAGTCATCATTTCTTGATGTTATAGGACACTCTCAAATTGTTCTTGTGCTTCTCGACATTCCTCCAATGGCAACAGTACTCGAAGGAGTGCAATTTGAGTTGCAAGACTGTGCCTTGGCAAATCTCAAAGGTTCGCTTGAGTTAATATTGTAGAACAGGTTTAAGGCTCATCACCCAACTCGATCTGCTTTTCCTTAGTGATAACTGACACGGGACCATGTTTTAAAGGACGAATTCACGATGAAAAAGCAACCCATTTCAAATTAACCTAGGGATGGTGAGTGGTACACGAAAGAAGGAAGAACCATGAGAAACGGCCCAGAACCCGAGAAATGGGACCCTTCCTTGCCCGTTGATTCGAGCATTGATGCGACTCTCATCGTGCCCTCTTCAACACTACGCTCTCTCAGCTATCTAATCACTCGCCACGTATTGAACTACGGCGAGTGATCAGATGATCGGTGGGCGGAGATCGCCGACCGCGCCCCGGAGGCATGATAGGCACCGAAGGTCAAATTTTTCCATGCGAATGCGCGTCCAAGTTTTGCACCTCCGGGGTTCCGCGTCTCAATTTAGGTCAGTTGCCTCTTTCTTCGACTCAATCTACGTCGTGGAATTCCTCCTTGTAATCGCTGTCAGCATGGGGTTGTGGTCACAATTTTCGGGACGCTGAAACACGTTTTTGAATATTGAGCAAATATAGCATGACAAGAGATTTTCTTAGAGAACAACCAACCAAAGGTCGCATTTTCGAGCACTTTTCGAGCTGTGGGGAGTAGATAAGTTTTCAGGCAGAGCGTGTTTGAATATGTCGGCGAACAAATGTCGGAAGCCTTTTGATTTGCAGTTAAAGCAACAGTCCCAGCAGGGTTTTTGCGTTCGACACTAGTGGCGTGGAACGTTGTGCTAGCCCGAGCATAAGAAGTGTGACTGAACAAAAAAACTCACCTCGGAAAAGCCGCTAGAAAGGGAGCCAAAGAGCTTCGAAGTGGGCGTGGTTGCTCGGTCGGTTTGCAGCTCATCTCGTCGACATTTGAAGTTGAAAACACCCCACTTTACGCGTTCAGCGGCTTTCAGACTTTAGTTTTTGTTGCAGTTACACTTCTTATAAACCTGATTAGGGCTAGAGCATCGTTCCACACTGTCAGTGTTGAAGGTAAACTGCTAGGACTGTTGCTTCAAGAATGCCCGACATATTTCATACCGATATCTAGACCTCTTATAGTGATGTCTGTGATACCACCAGTATTTGACCGTGCAGTATTTCCATTTTTTCAGGCGTAGAATGCGTAACCACTGAAAAGGAAGCATTCACGGATATCGACTACGCCTTCCTTGTTGGAGGTAATACTTTGTAACACAAGTTATACATTGAATACCACTGAATTAGTGGTTGCGTACGTATTCTCGGTAGAGTCAACGTCAGTTCATAAATACTAATGGCGATGTCATACTTGGCGAATCGCTAGCGTCCGTGGTCGCGTGGCGGCACAGCCAATCAGGGCCGCGACTATTCGTGGCGCTAGCGACGCTGCGTTACAAAAGTCTGATATCGGTGCTGAAGGAAGCGCATAGTGCGGCTTTTTATTCATGGCAAAACATCCGGTAACATTGTGGATAAAGCTGTCTTAGATTTTACGAAATCATTTTTTTAGCTATGCCCCGAAAAGAGGGAATGGAACGTAAAGACCTCCTCGCTGCCAATGTGAAAATCTTTAAGTCCCAAGGCAAGGCACTGGCTGACTATGCTAAAGCTACCACAAAGGTGATTTAAAGATAAATCATGAAATAAATAAAATCGCTTCTAACGAAAGTTATTTATCAAAGGTTTCTAATGTGTCCCTAAAATTTCAGGTGCTTGTCGTCGGAAACCCGGCCAACACGAACGCCTTCATCTGTGCAAAATATGCGGCACCAAAGATTCCTGCGCGCAACTTCTCTGCTATGACTCGTCTTGACCATAATCGCGCTACTGCTCAGGTTTAGTGGACACTGAAAGATTTATTTATATTCGTCGTATCAGCTGCTGTGTGAACTTTGCTCCACCCAAGCTTGCTTGAACTTTTGTGTCAGGAAGCCGAAAAGGTCATGCTCTTAAGTACAGATGGGACAGTCACTTACAATTCCCTTTCAAAAACGGGAAGACAGCCTCGGGTAGACGCATACACACAAATGACGACGGTCCTTGAAGGAAAGCGGTTTGCTTCATAGTAATAGCGATTTCTGGTTAGTGATAGTTGTAATTAGTGATAGCTGATAGAGAATACAACTGCAGGAGGCTAATCATTTCATTGGTTGAAAACATCACATTGGTGGAAACCGTCGTCAATTGTGGTGCATGGTCTGCACCCGACGCTCTTCTCGTTTTGAAGGAGGTATACACTTTCGAAAACCGTGACAATTTCATGTGGAAGTGAATGCTTCTTGCAACATCAATAGGATTGATCAATTCCTTGTGCGTCATCCTCTAAGGTTTTTAGCAAAATAAATCTGCACATTCCTCTAGTGTGACGTTGCATTTGTCACGTAGTTCATTCTAGGAATAAGCACAGGCTTATGTTTAACCGTGGTGTACTTTCGCTTTAGTGGTGTTTTTCTGAGAAGCTGTGCTGACAATGAGTGCAGCAGCCTCTTAGCCGTGGTTTACAATCGACACTCAGCGTCAGCGGGGTATAGAGTGTCAATGGTACATGAGATTTTGTAAACAAAAACATAAGAAAGTGATTCCTAGCTTTTCTGACAGAAAAGATAGGCTGGAGGTGGAGTGAATGGACCCCTGTGGAAACGGCTTGCCCTTGAGGTTACCTATTCATTAGGAATTGCCTGGCCAGTGATTTAGGCTTGGAACCCATTGGAATGAGCTGTAGGCCACCATAAACTCGTCGTCTGTCTACTGATTTCATCTGAAGAGATTGCCTGAAAGGCAGTTTGCTGAAGAGTGTGGTCCCCAGGGAGTGAATTCATGCTCCTCGCCTTAAATGCTTCTGCTTCTTCTCGAAATTACGAACTCCCTTACCCCACAGTACTCCAAACACGGCTTCTTCCACTGAATTGAATTTTCGAGCCGCTCTGCTTTGGCTGTTTTTGTCGTCACCATCAGGGGCTCTTTCAAGACGTTTTGACCACTTTACCCGTGCTTAGGTGGGAAAATGTGAATTGGAACAAAAACAGTTAGGGGTTCGACATAGGGGAACAAAAGGAAAGGGATTTGTGACACGGGATGCTGCTTGGTTCCGTTTTTCTCATTCGAGCTTTCATCAGATGGAAGTCAAGGAGCTGCGGAGAACGCCCTTGCCTTTACAGTTCGCTGTATTGTCTCCTGTCATGAGTTCATGAAGAACTTCGGCTCTCTATTCAAACGCTTTGTTTTCAGCTAGCAATGAAAGCTGGAGTCGGAATCGGTGACGTGAAGAACGTGATCATTTGGGGAAAATCACTCAAGCACTCAATTCCCTGACGTCAAGCATGCCGTTGTGACGAAAGGTACGTAAGCTTCGAGAGGGTTTTCATACAACAACAATGACAGGCATTGAAAAGGATCACATAGATAACTGAGTGCTTTTCGAGGGCACCAAATGGTGTTAGGAAGGGAGCCCCCCCCCGACACATAGTGAGAAAGGTCCAAACTTCGTACTTTCACGTGGTAGCGACAGTTGATGCTTACCTGCGGTCCAACGAACACTGCCTTTTTGCAAGGTCCCTTCATCTCGGTCGGTACTTAACTTTTCTGAATCAGCTGATCGCCAAATTCAAGGCAGTGCGTTTCAGACCATCCAAAAACGAGGTGCTGTCATTATCCAGAAGCGTAAGCTCTCATCGGCGATGTCAGCCGCGAAAGCTGCCTGTGACCACATTCATGACTGGCACTTCGGTACCAAGCCTGTAGGTTTTGGCCTGTTTCTTTCCGATAGACGATGCCTATTGGTTTTTGGTACATACGATCTTGTTACAGGTGCGAGTGGGTCTCGATGGCTATTCGTCTGATGATCCTACGGTATTCCAAATGGTCTGCTGTTCTCGTTCCCAGTCACGATTGATGGGGCAACCAAGGAGTGGAAGATCGTTCAAGGGCTTTCGCTTGACGACTTCGCTAAGGCCAAGCTTGCCGAAACTCAGAAGGTGCGATTCCGATTCCTTTCACCCTTCAGCTTTTGACGAAAAATAGTTCTATTAAGGAACTCGAAGAAGAGCGGGACGAGGCGTTGAAGGCTTGCGATGCTGCCAGCATGTAAGCGGCCGGATCGAGCGCGTGTAGGGCACCTACCTAATTCCGGGGTTCTAGTTGTCTTACTGTAGAACAATGTCGTTGTGTAGATTTTTTCCTATCTTGCATGCTATAATATGTGCAAACGGTTAATAATGTTTGCGTTTTTATCTCTAATAAATATGTTACATTCAAAGACAAAACATCTGGACTGACGTCCTTACAACATCTCAGTTGCAAGTATTCTGATGTGGCTGGGCGTAATTTGAAAGAAGTTGTCTGTAAAACTAATTGGGCCGGGGGGAGGGAGAAGAGAAAGAGAGAGAGAAGAAAATGTGCTGAGTTTTGGCATTTGATGTGCATACGATCAAGGCAACAATCACTATACCGCTAATCTTTCATTGTTTGTTGTTAAGGTGCAATGAAACAATAATTAGCCAGAAAGCGAGAATGGGGTGACAGGAAGGACTCCAATAGAGTTGGGTGTATTTGGAACGAGTCGTCGACGAATCCTCCACCGCTTTCCACCCTGTTCATACCTCAACCTATAGTATCTAGGGAAACAAACTGTCACGAGAATAAGTGGCGTAATCGGGCCAACGCTCTTCTGTGCTTATCCGGCCGAATCTTGTAAGTTTTCTTCAGCTTTTTGTTGTGTAGCAATATTGCGTGATTAGTAAATGAGACTGCTGCCGAAGCTCCCTCAATGAAAATAAAGAAGAAATATGGAGTCCCAAATATAAATCCAGTTTCAATCAACTCGAACAGCGGGTGGAACAGTTCCCCTGGATCTCAAAAGTGTTATATCTCATTGCAGAAGAGACTGATGAGACTTAAAGCAACAGTTCCAGGACGAATTTACGAGGTAAAAACCGTTGATAATGTAGTTATAGCCCACAATTTGACCGACAGTAATGAAAAAACCAAAGAAAAACGCGGAATAAGGCTTTGAACAGGAACTCACCCTCTGCCCTTAGCGATGAGAGAAGACGCGTGCTGGACGAGTTGTCCGAACCTGCGCTCCAATTGCAATTGCTGGCAAATAGCCATAATAGTTGGCCATTTGCCAGCTCTTGCAATTACAATACCGCTCACAGAATTGTGAAAAATCGACGCCGATTGACAGATTAGTCCTATCACAAACCGTCGCACTACCATAACTCCGCTGAAAGCGAATGAAACGGAAAAATTCAAACTCCTATAGATACGTCTCCTCACAACGAGTTCCAGGATGTGTTATGGGTCGGGATTTGTTAAGTAGGTCACCAGCTTTACCTTTTAAGCTGGGTTGAAATTCAACTTCTGACCTCAAAGTAGGACACCAGTCGGTAGTGTTCCATGTGCGTAGCACTTTATCATTCACACGCACCTCCCTTTTGATGTGTTTTATCCATGTTTCATAGTCACGTTCGATGCAAGCGAGCTTTTCAATTTTACGACATTTCCAAATTTTGAAAGCGCATTTCATCAAAGTCTGGAGGAAATGACGACGAAACGGCTAGTAGATCTTGAACTAGGTATGGACTGCGCAAGAATTTTGTTGAATGCTGGAATACAGGTGAGTGGTTCTTCCATAATTTCGCCCTGAATATTGGCATTCATCACATTCTGCCAATAATCCCACTCTTTTCCCCTTCCAAAAACGGACTTCATAGAGGCGAGTGAACGAGAAATGAAGTGGTACTCCTGAGAATATGTCATATTGTTTCGTATAATAGCATAATTACCTATGGAAAATTCCTCCTCGAATAATACAAGAGCCAGCACTCCCACCTTTGGAAAAGTGTACATGGCCAGCAAGTGTAAAAATACCGTTGCAATTCATACTGTCGTACGCGACACGATAAATACTATTCGATAATATACAGTTTGTTTCTCGACAGTTGTTTGAATTTTTCTAGTTTACGCTCTCTTATTCTTTTTATGATCGCTAGCCATTGCGACCTGATCGCTCGTTGACCTCGTAATTAGCCTGCGCTCTGCATTGATCTGAGGTCAATGCCTCGCGGTGTTATCACCTCCCTTCGAAACACTGGTTCAAATCGCTAAGCCCTCTTATTCAGACTCCCTACAGTTCCACAAGTTCAGGGTTTCGAAGGGAGAGAAGAGGGCCTCCAGCCAAGGTAACTGAAACTCGCATTGCGTGAAAAAGCTGCCAGAGCGATGCAGGAGCATATCATCTATTACGAATCTTTGTTTGCAAATGTTAGAAGTGGCAGAAGATCCGAACCCCTCTGCAACTGTGCGCTGACAGCGATCGTTCGGCCTGCTCGCCATCAATATGACGTGG